ATCTGGAGGATCAAGTCAGCCAATTAACAGTTACTCGGGGAGTGGGATTGATCCTGTAAGGACGGATTTCATTGATCCTCGCCATGATGGTCTATCAGATAGGCTAGCTTAGTCGAGTCTCCTCGTATGCAAGCGAAACCGCGACATTAGGTGAAAACGAAATGCGCTTCGAAATGGCGAACAAAAACACGGAAACACTGATCACCTATACTCACTTTACGCAATCCTTGGGTGAATAAATTTTCTAAATTACGATCTAGCCATTGGAAAAAGGAACGCATGTACAGTTCGACTCGATTCATACGAGTAAACTGTTGATGCTTGTACCGAATCCAAGAGCCCATTGCCATGTTTAGATGTCTGTATGCGAGTAGGGACGGAGGGTATAAAAGGGGACAGATGTAGAGGTGTGAGAATGGCAAGGAGGGAGGGGGCGGGCGAGTAAAGAGAAATCCAAAATATCCAAAATTATGATATCATCGACAGACAGAGAGAAGAACACAAAGAAGTATAACACCTGAATTGTACCAGACGAAAGACACACTTACTCAACTAAAACACCCGGCAGATGATCCTTATCCAATACGGTTACTTGCAGGGGTTCAACCGGGTACATTTTGTCCATTTGAATGTTAAGAACCACTTCACGGACATCGTAAGCCTGAAGAGTAGTANTAATTGAATCGGATTTTGCAGAGACAACAACACTCAGGTAACAACCGAACACAACGACGTAGATTGTGCAAAACAAGCGGGGGTGGGGACAGGGAGATGTAATTAAACGCAGCTAGAATACACCAATATTTCTAACACGTGAGTGTTATGAATTTGAAGCTCAAGCATGGCTTGGATTCATCGTATCGAATAACGTTGTTCACTAGCTTTCGAGTTTACTCCGCATATTGATCCGGGAAGACATTTTCTCATCTCATGAGGAATGGGAACAAGCTGCAGTGATTACGCATAAAATCGTGTGGAGAATGATCCGAGACCCGAATTTCGGCCTAGTTGTATTCACCGACGAGAACCACGCATAGCGCCAGGAGAACAGAGCACATTTCCCTTGAAAACTTGGTGTGACCAATGATCAGCAATGGAATCTGGCAGCCTATACATTCTCGAGGCGGTACTGAGCTGCACTGGGGTGACACTGAAACGCTAAAAAACTGAGTTGTCTATTGCCTAGGTTTGGGGGGAGGGGAACAGGTATAATGGTTAATCTCCAACCATGAATCCCACAATGCTCGCCACTTAATCAACATTACCGGAAGGATTGGAATCACGTATATAAACGAGCGTTTGTTAAACACAGGTCAATCTGAATTGAAAAATTTTTCGCACTATCTGACTACTGTGTGGATGACGAGCAGCTTTGCGAAACTGGAACGGGAACGGAAAACAGCAGATATCTTGCATTTTGTGAACTGGAGTCCAAAAGAACTTACAACCGGTTGGTTGGAGATACTCCGAAAAATGAGGATGAACCGATATTAGGAGCATTTGTATCGCCAATTTGTAGAAGGCTCACCAAGCACCACTATGCTGAGTAAGTGCGCGTGTACAGTCAGACAGCAAAACCTGTGTGTGCGTGTGTGCTGACCACATTCCGATTCGCTCTGTCTGGCTTATTCTCCCTATATTTGTTTATATTGGGATGGGGATATAATTTCCACCAAGAAACTTTTATCGTGTTCAAACTGGACCCGTCTTATTTGTATGGACAGTAGTAGTGTTCATCCATCGACTTACTCGATTTCGCTTACCGTCGTACTTTCATGTAGCCCAAAAAGCTTTGGACTCCGTATTCACCATATGAACTACTAAAAGATAATAACTAAAACAAGATCAGTAAGAGGCCAACTAAAGGATGATGTGAATTGAAGTCACTAGTCATCACAGGATGAGTGCAAACAGTGAACATTTTGCTAAACGCACATGCTGTGTGCCCGAGCTCTTGTGCCTCGTATTCCACAACAGTCCCGGCTACAGCGCGGCTCTTCGCCAAATCTATTAAACCGCTTCATATCACCCAGATACATACGCATTGGGGCAAATCAGGGCGGATGGCAGTATGGAAGAGGTTCTGGAACACCGCAACCCATTCTAGCAGACAAACAGTGATAGCTTTATTGAATTCCGTGCCTTTTCTGGACTCTATGGACAGAGCGTTGTTGTGGTCTATATTGGATGCCGATGACGAGTCGACAAAAATCAGTATTATGGATTTCGACAGGGGTGCTCTTATCAGTGCTGTTCGATTACCATATTGACTGGTTGACGAAGCGGACCCGAAAGGTGCAGTGTGCTCATGACACGGAGAACAACCTTGCGTTTGCAGACGACCACCGTGAAAAGCGGAGACTCAGTAGGACCAAATACACCGCCAGATTCAGTAACTTCTGTTCTAGGCTGTGTGGGAAGTGGGGCTATACCAGTTTTATGCACCTTGAATCTACCACACTGTTAGGTTGGTAGACCAAGTACAAAATCCATATTTGTACTGTCAACTCCAGAGTAGCTTTACTACTACATAAGTCCTTACATAAAGACGGGTGTCTAGAGAGCCGCCATTCATCCCGTTCTCACATGCTGCTGTGAAACATGACCCAGAAAAACAGAATGTTAAAAGTATTCGATCAAAAAATATTAGAACCAGATTTTCAAAGAAGTACATCAACCTGGAGCTGCATAGTTTGAACTGGTATTGAATGTCCACGCGGTTGAGCAATGTACTGTGCTTACAAGTGGAATCCCCGCTGACTTAACTCTGTGACTGCTGTGCCGTAAGCGGTCATGACCAGAGACATTGATGAAACGGACTTGTCTTCACGAAAGGAGTTAGTCGCTGATAGTTGAAAGTGACTTCCACAGCAGGGTAGATGGATTTGGTCTGTGTGAACCTGTTATACAGCCAGTCGGTTTATGTCATTTGTGTATACGACAAATCGCGTGAGTAATGTGCGATTAAGGTAGAGAACACAATAAACATGGGTAACTGTTTAAGACTACGGTGAAAACGTGCCAAGTTGCTCCAGGTGAAGAGGAAAAAACTGAGAAAATGCAAATGCCCACTGATGAAGATCAGCCCAAGTACTTTGATGAATTTAGTCAGACAAGATGTAATATAATAGAGCACTTTGTTCTGATTGACAACATCTGTAATCATCTCAGTCTTACGGGAGGTACTAAAATTTAGTGTTGGGCGGCAGGCTGATTCAAGCTTGGATCATTGAATAGAACGGGTCAACAGAATTTTTAGGATGCATCTCGATTGGCTTACAACAATCGTAGCTATAACGACTTCACAAACACGGGACCAATAGAGCTGGATAATAACAAGAGCACAAGTTCAATGTTAGTCTTCGAGTGGATAAAGATCATCGATTCACTGTGGAGATAGGGAAACGTACCTGAGAATTGACGGGGATCGGTCACTTAATCAAGTTAGACAAAGAATAATTTTTTTTAAACTACAGAACAATCGCACTGCGATCACTTCTCAGTCGGCTTTCGGCAGCGCGTGAATAGTGCAGGCTTAGGAATTCGATCGAACGAGGACTTGGTCGAGGATGCATTGATTGGTTTTGCAGTTCGACAGACCTTGAAGCGAAAATCACTCGCCTATCGGAAGCTCAGCATTCTTATTTCTTTCGCATGAGCATGATGAAATGTGGTAGAGGAAAACTCTGCAGTCATTAGGATCTACTTATTATACGTTAGCACTGTCCTGTTTATCGATTTCACGAACCTCTTAAATGAGTATCGTTTTAGAGGACACTGAATTACAATCGAGTGTAAAATCTTCTTCAGCTTACGAGATCCACTCCCGCTCGCAATTGCTTGTTTTGACTTTCCGCATAGTATATACACAAAAAGTATCCGTATTTGAACTGACTGGTCTAAAAGAACTTAGTGAGTGCACAGCAGTGTGGCATATTATATGCGTCTAGCGCATGTGCGATTTGCACACATATCAGTCAATCTCTTGCGTAATTCTATCCATATCTGAATTGGTTAGACCGATGAGCAATTCCAAAACACGGCAACTAAAATCAGAGCACTGAACGGTCAGGTTAATGATCCCGTAAACCGCACTGAAAGAAGTTATCGGGCTTTTGTTCGAGGATAGCACTAGAAACTTCCTGAGTAGCGGCCGTGATGAAAATGTTATTTAGGATAGTACCACAGATTGAAAGTTTACGTCATATTTTAGCTACATGTGACTCGGATTTGTGGAAATGCTGGTATTGTAGCAAAAGTAATATTGAACGCATTTGCACCACAAAATCACGAAACAGGAACATCAACAATAAGGTAGTGATCCTTTATATACTACCAACTCTACGTCTGAATAGCCCGCTGTAATAGACAGGGCGGGGTGATAATTTTGCAACAAAAATGTCAACTCGACGGAGAAGGACGATTAAGCTCGATCAGAATGTACGCAACAAGACATACCAAAGACAGCAAAAGATTGATCAAACATTCGATTACACTACCAGATGTGTCCGGAATTCGATAAGCGATCCACAGAGTAATCGGATTAGCACCCCTGGGTCGGATGACTGTCGAGAACCCATGAGAGCATCATTCTAAATATTCGGTCTCCATCATGTACTCAGCTCCCACCGGTGGCTCCATGAAGCTGACGCGGCAAACCGCTCGACAGGTCTGCTAAACCAGGCTGAGGGTATTCAAGGTCGACAGGTATTGGCGAGACGATGAATAGCATGCCAAGACAGCCACTCCCTAATGGACAGGCAAGATCTCCTGTCTGATACAACGGCTATGAAGAAAGCCTGTGCAACTCACGGAGACGAATGGACATCTGAGTCGCAGTTACCGTTACTACACGGAGCCACCGGCTACCATGAAGCAACACCGTTGCCCTGTAAACCACAATTAGTTGTGCGAAAACTACGGGTGTGTCCCTGCAAAGAAACACCGAGCGACACTGGGGCCGACTCTTGCATCAGATGCTCACAATACTCCATAGCATGGAGTCGGCTTATTTTCTCCAAGAAGACAGCCGCAGTAAAAAAACAAATAATGCAATGTAATGTTGTGCATAGTATACATGATACAGCTGCCGACCGGCAACAAAATATCGATACCTATATCATCATATAAGAATAATACAATTTCTAACATCACATGCATCACAAAGTGAAAAACAATAGCGGAAATGGGAACATTGGTAATCACAAATTTTCGTGATGAACTTAAGCGAATAAGGGTCATAAGCTTGAACATCGATCCAACTAAACTTTTTCGGTATACTGTCCAAGAAGAGGCAGTGGCTGAGTCTAGAAACCGCTTCCACATCAAAGGTAGAGGGGATGTCTAAAGAGAGTCCGAATTGTGTTCCGAAATTCGATGAGGTCTTGAATAGGACTAAAACCAGTCGGATTCTTACATATGCACAGCTTGTGTGTAGCCGACAATCAACGGAGTATAATTTCAGCGAGAAGCTGGAGCGCTGTGTTCTTCCTAAAGAGGGATTCCTCTTGCAACTAAAAAATCTGGGGCAACAAACAGAAGTGTATTCAACTAACACACGGTTAAGTTTACATACCCAGTCCGGATCAGATGAGGAAAATTTGAGATGGAAAACTCGTCCCCCATCAAAAGACTGCATTTCGCGCAACTCTTCCGAGGGAAAGCTTTTCAGGAATCGTTCCACCTCCAAATGCTGTAACCGGCATACTTCAGATTTTGTAACCCCGTCCAAAGGAACTCCACTAGCCGAATTGCGTGGCCGAATAAAAGCTGGACGAGCAGGTCGGTTAGTCGAGTCCCCTTGTGCGGGTGTTTGTTGGGATCCGGATTTTAAAGACTGTGTGGAACCGGCCCGATCATTTACAGATACACGACCATTAGTCGCACGCGCCGGTGATTTTGANTTGATGAAACGGAATTCCGATCGGCTGACGAACCTTGGTTAGCAAGAGTTACTCGTGCAGGTTTTTGTTCACAGCGGAATTCCATGTAGGTACGCTGCTTCTTGTCCTCGGTTTCCAAATCATGTGAAAAAGTGCAACGATCACCATATTTGCACTGATTATTCAGGAAAAATTGGCATGGTTTTCGAACTGGATTGGGAGTCGGTGGTTTGACCGAGTGATCATGCCAGAAATGGCAATTGTATCCGTAAGGACACCAACCGGTTGAAGTGAACGAACGACATCTCACGGTCGGATGAGCATAAGGGCAAGTATCACCGTTACGGCAAGAGCCGGCTTGGTAGTAGTAACATATAGGAACACGGTTCATGTAACCTGTGGAAGGGGGAAAACTTATGAAAATGATTCAAGTAAAACGGGGAAACAAATCAGGAACTAAGTAAACGCATGGTAAAAACGAATAACAAAAACGGCTATCAAAACACATTTATGACAAACCTGTTTCAGGCGTTCACGCTATGATTTGCGGAATAGGGGTGATGTAAAACAGAGTGGACAGAACTGGAATTATTCCGAATGTATAAACCTGGTCCATATAGCTGTAATTGATAACCTTAGAGCAGATATTGCACTGACACGTCAGTACTGGCCTGAGGAACATAATGTAAGTGACCCAATATTTGAAAAGTCACCAGGAGACACTGTTTGATCTATTTTCTTACATATGTGTATGTGTGATGAACACCAAAACGAAGTGAGCCCCCTTAAACGCATAGACCTGATGAAAACCGGCAACCTCTGCCCTGAGACTTCGAGTGGCCAATCTTATAAAGCCACTCCAGGTTAGGCTTGGTACTGAACCAGACGACAGCAAAGCTAACGACCACCACCGAATTTTCCACTCTTCCTGTTGAGTTTACTCAATTAGGGCGTCGAATGACGTCAATAAAGACGGCACACATTGGAGCCAGGGTCCAACGGATCGGTGTGTGGCAGTGGCAGAAATTTAAGCAGTTTCATCATGAAGTAGATACAATATCATTTGCTCAAAAAATTGTTAAATCAAGTCAAGAGTAGTGGACTGGCCACTTTTGAGAAGATAGTGATGAGAAAGTGGGCAATTCAGTTTATTCCGAAAAACGGGTTAAATCAGGGGTTAAATGAGCACACTAAACACTAAACAAATAGTTATAGAAAAATGTGGATGGAATCAACATACATTTAAGCAAATCACGATAAAAAGAATTTTTGTAACGAGAATATCAAGCTCTAGTGTGTTAGTGGGTAGAGAACCGCCTAAACCAAAGGTGATTTTCCTTGGAATTCGAAAACGGAGTATTCGAATGAGCACAACCAAATTTGGGTGGCGGTGGTGAGGCTACAACCTCGGACCATGGGGTCCAAAGCAGGCCGGTAATAGCGACTAAACTATTGCGCAACCACCACCCAATCGGTTACCTAACTCTCCTATATGCTTAATTATGATTATTACCAAGCTCATCTGCATGGACTCAAACCCCCAAATAATTCATCAAGGATATTATTATATTTTACACTTTCGGAATCCAGACTGTTCCAGACAAATCATGGACAAAATACATCTTTTTATTATTGTTGCCACACAGAAATCAGCTAACGAGTCCCCGGTGAGTGGAATACTGACAGGTTCCTCAGGTCAAAGTGGGAGCAATAGACAACCTGAAACATACAACAGCAAAGCCGGAATTTCGTGTTCTCGTATGCGCAGATTTCGAAACTTGCGTGCACAATGTTTGAAAGCATAGTGTTTATGGCAAGCAGGAGAATAGGATGCAGAACTGCACACGAGCAACCGATGGATTTATGTTAAAATGTGATAATCACACAATGATACAGTATTTGGATGA